ATAAAACTAGACAAGCAAATTGAAGGAGCAACAGAAATAAAATCTGAAATATCCTCAAGCATACATGAAAATGTACTATATAATTGCAACAAGAAGGCTAATAAATACAAACATTTATTAATATTTATTGATTCAGATTTGATGAAATGATAGTTTTTATCTTGCTTATTCCTCTTGTCATAATTTATCAGAAAGTGTTTTTTGAAGAAAAAAGAGTAAATTGGAAACAAGGTGTCACTTTATTTTAATATTCTGAAATCGAGGGTCAGATAGATAATTTGAGGAAGCCATTAGAGAAAGACTATTTGAGGTTTTGGGAGTCTAATAAATTGTTCTCCACAAATTCAATTTTTTGTTTTGTTTTGTTTTCCCCATCATTGTTTATTTAATAAGTACACAGTTTCTAGAGCAAGATTAAGATACCATTGTCATTATTATATCTTACTCTTCAGAGAACATCATTTCCACAAGGCTGGCCTGAAGACACTCAGATTCCACCAGTTTTTGAGGTGTTCCATATTTAAGTAGTGTAGGTACTGAGATTACTTTCAGCTTTTTTCTGAAGTCATTGTTGGGATCTTTCCAGTAAGGTTTTTCTCCTACTTGGCAGTAGATGAAAACACATCCTTCATTAATATGCTTCAGGCCCTCTGGAACGACTGGTTCAGCTTGCACACAGTCAGGGCACCAACTTTTCCCTTGGCGTCCTTAGAACCCGTAAAGTAGGCGAAAATGGTCTTGCCATTGTGCTGCTCTACGCCCTGGTTGAATTCCTCAAAGCCCATCACGGGTACTTCCTCATAGCGGGCCATTGAGACAAAAAGCCCCAAGTAAGGAAAAGAAATAGCAAAACCCGCCGCCCTGGGGCGGGTCCCACGTGGAACGGGCCACAAATTCAATTTTTAATGCCAGCTAAGACAAAGAAAGCAAATACACATAAAACAAAATTAACCATAATTGGTTCAATTAATAATAGCTTCAGAAATGGAGAAAAGATAGAAGCTGTCGAAGATTTTATTTTACTTGAATTCACAAGCAACACTCAAGAAACCAGCAGTTGAAAACCAAAAGCTGTGCTAGGAGATTAATGATATTCTAAAAAAACAAACAATTAATAAAATATAATTATAGGAAAAAAAATAAAAAAACAAACAAACAAACAAAAAACCCACAAGAGCTTTATTACTCTGGGCAAATCTGTTAGCAAGGCCCTCTTTAAATACTAAAGAGCAAGAATGTCACTTTAACCTCTTAGACATACTATTCTCAAGCTGTGGTATCTTAAATTGTTTCATATTTATGTGAAAGTTGCACAGTGCACAAGGTAAAAAAATAATTTGTGCCTTTGCATTGTAGTATTGGGGAGGACTATTGAATAAATCATGGACAGCCAAAAGAACAAACACAATATATAAACAAACATAATATATAAAAAGAACAAACATAATCTCCCGGGACACCCTAGCTGGATGAGTGCTAAGAAGCAAGAATGATCAGACTGTTAAACTCTCACATACTCTGGGTGTGTTACCATGAGAGGTCAGTTCCTAACAAAAGTTAACAATTCTTGGACCCTCAACAAGATGGATTAACATGGTAATTATAACAAAGGATTTTAACATAGCAGGGATTGTGAGGATGGTGCAAAATCAGGAAGGATTTGTTCTATTGCACAGAGAGGAAAAGAAAATATACTATGAGTCAAAGTCAACCTGACTGTACCTAAAAATAACAAAGAAAAACATTGAGATAATGGTGGTGGAATGTAAAGCACAAATTAGAATAAAAAGAATCAAATAAATTTCTGATTTTTTTCAGAACAGTAACAAACCAAGTATACCATTTTAAAACAAGTGGTTCACTCCGTTATACATTTGGCACAAGTAGTTTCCTAGATCCTTATTGGTATGTATACGTCTTTGAAGGAGTCAAAATAAAAATATAGAAGAATAAAAAAACCCTTCCATTTAATCTCTATTATTTTTATGATGTTAGAGAATGTTCTAATTAATGAGAAAAATGTTAAGACAATTGTCCATACTACATATAAAAAAATGCTTTGCACATGACTTAAAATTTAACTATAAAAATAGTAACATTTGAGAAAAAAGTTAGTTGGATTTGAAAGAATAAAAAAAGGGGGGAAAAGATAAATTTGTTATAAGACCAGAGATAAAAAAATTGGTTAAATGCAAATATTATACTGTTTCATACTGAAAATTTGCAAGGAAAGGATGGCAGTCTCCTCCTGTGATGTTAACTGCCTCTGAAAACTCACTAGAGGGTTAGCTATGGGTCAGTTCTGACTCAGCAGCACACCACACATACAAAAATTAATCTAAAATTTACGAAAGTAGCAACAATAAAAATAATCCATTCAAGTGTCAAGTTGAACTCATAACTTCAGCAAATTTTTGGGAAGCCATGCATCACTTTAGGAGAAACTGTCTCATTATTTTCAGGGAGCTGCTGCTGGTGGATTCAACCTCCAGAGAGGCGCCACCCTTTGAGGTAGAAGCACAACTCCCCACACACTAGCCCATCAGAACTCCCTAAGGAAAATAGGAACAGAATGTAATATTTGCACTGATTATTATAGAGAAAAGATTAGTTTTGTCATAGCTCAGAGGTTGTCCAAATTATTACAAACCTTATACAAGAGTAGGAGGCTCTAGTAGCCTAGTAAGTATATAAGGAGCTGTGCTGCCAACCCGAAGGAATGTGGTTCTCATCCATCAGTTGCTCCAGGGAGGAAAGATGGGCGGCCTCTGAAAACCCTCTGGAAGTTCAGCTGTGGGTCCATCCCAACTTGATGATATACAAAAGCAACATTATTCAAGAATTAATAGCCTGTTAATTAAACTATAACAATAAAATGAGATTTAAAAAATTTAGTTATGGCTTTGATTCTTGGGAGGGAATCCAGTGAAATTTGTAGAATTACAAATCAAACTGAAAAGAAGTCAGGTGTCCCTGTTGCTGTAGTTGCTGCTTGCTCCTTTGGTTTGGCAGTGTACCTTTTTAACCACTAAGCCACCAGAGCTCCCTCAAATGCACACACGCTGGTGGATTATTTATATTGAAATAAAATTGCTATTTCCCTCCTGCTTTATTCTCATAATCTTCCTTTTCCCACCTCTTCACTCTCAATGAAACAATTCTCTCATTCAATGCTGGGAAACATGTAGTGAGAAATACTATTAAAAAATTAATCGTGTTGACAATGTCAAGTGGTAAGAAGCTATGCTGCAATCCCAAAGGCACAAGGTTCAAATCCACCAAGTGCTCACTGAGGGAAGAAGGATGGACAATTCTCCCCATGCAATTTACTGTCTCTGAAAACCTGCTGGAGAGTCTGCTATGCATTGGTTCTGGCTTGATGGCACTCAAAAACAACAATACTTTAAAATGTTGTAAACCATACCAATTTACACATCTTCATATTTAATGGCATTGGAAAGTATTTTTCTCTAAATAAAATGAGTGAAAAGAGCAGAATGAAAAATGATCATTTAAGAGTTCCTTCAATTTTAAATGTGTATATGTGTGTGTATTATTATTATTATTCATTGTTGTTGATACTATCAAGTCAGATACGACCCACAGATGACTCATCATTGGAGGCATTAAATCACACAGAAGGAATTGAGCATCTTTATCCCCCTGAGCAACTGGTGTATTCAAACCTCAAAGCTTTGCTTTGGCAGAACAATTCCTTATCACCCCAGATCTTCCTATGTATATATTAGATTTAAATCTAACAGATTTAGTAAATTAGTGTATTATGATAGCATACTGAATATATACATCAGGAGGGGGAAAAACACTCAAAACTCAAATATTCTGCCTTCCAGTGCTCTAATTGGTAGCAGCCTTCAACCTAGTTTCCAAAGCATTAAATGTCAATGAGAGGAAACTGCCCATCTTTATCCTGTAGACACTTTGGTGGATTTAAACCATCAGAGAGGCACAGCCTTTGAGTTAACAGTGCAGTGCTCCATAGATCATACCACCAGAGTTCCCTGAATATGTACACAGTGTAACAGAATAAAATGGCTACTGGTTGCAAGATTAAGTGGTGAGATTATGTTTCCACAGTATTCTATATTTTATATCATGAGTATGTATTTGTTGTGAGCACTCAAGTCAGAACCAACTCATAGCTGACCCTCCAGTGAGTTAAAAGGCTTTAAATTGAAGGAGAGGAAATTGCCCATCTATCTCCTGTGAAATATTAAACCCTTTGTCTTTAAGTTGGTAAAATAGCTTTTTATCACTAAAATTCTTGAGTGACACTTTTTTTTGTTTTCATCTAATTTCATCTCCTGACCTTCAGTTTAATCTTTCAAAATAGTAGCATATATAAAAAAGAGAAGGTAGCATATAGTACTTGCTCTCTGAACATCAAGATAAATTGGTGACACAGTGGTTAAAGTGTTGAGAAAATGTATTACAGGTTGTTTTTTCGAAGTGTGAAGTCAAAATTAATTCAAATCAGATGATTTTAACTAGGACATAAACCTGAATGTTGGGAAACGAAGAAGCCTTATACTAAAATATTCAGTGTGACCATTCAATTTTGCTCCCTACACAAAAGAGATTTTTATCTTTTTAGAACACATAATCGGTTTACTTGCTTTGTGGAAATTTAGAAAATAAAAGAATAGCTCATACATATAGAATATATAGTCATGATTAAATAGCATCAGCTTAATCAATTTAATATTTACTTAATGAGGTGGTCACTTAAATTAATATTTACTGGAGCAAAATGAATTTAAATAGCACATTATAAATTAAAAACATATTCTTGCATATATTTTAAACTAATAAAATAATGATGTATGTATCTATATTGTCATCAATATTGCTTTTCTAAAAAAAGTAATTATTACAATATGCATGTTTGACAAAATGAAAAGAACAACGATAAATAAAACTCTTAGAAAGACAATGAGTTTTTTCCACCAACAAATGGTTTTAAATACATCAGTGACAGATCATTTTCTGTATACTATTCTTTTCACAGCATCTTTCACATCTCTGTTCCTCAGACTATATATTAGAGGGTTGAGCATTGGTATTATAAGTGTGTAGAACACAGCAACAACCTTATTTTGCTGGGGTGAGGAGATGGCCCCAGGTTGAGCATACATAAAGAAAACTGACCCATAGAATAAACTCACCACTGCTATGTGAGAGCCACATGTAGAGAAAGTCTTACTTCTGCCCTGAGTTGAAGGGATCTTCAGTACAGTAGAGAGGATATAAGCATAAGATATCAAAATGATCGTTGTGGTCGTGATAATAATAAGAGCAGAGAGAATGAACAGCACAATCTCATTCACAAAGGTGTCAACACAGGAGATCTCAATCAGAGCTGGGACATCGCAGAAAAAGTGGTCCAGTCTGTTTTCCTCACAAAAACGCAAGCTGAATGTGAAACTTGTTTGGACTATAGAGTTAACACCTCCACATATATAGGAGCCAGTAACCAAGCGGACACAGACTTTCTGGGACATGTGCACAGGGTAGAGAAGAGGAGAACAAATGGCTGAGAAGCGATCAAATGCCATTACAGCCAGAAGAAAGCCTTCTGTTGTGACAAAGAGTGCAAAGAAGAAAAATTGGGCTGCACAGCCATTGTAAGATATTTTCTTTTCTTTAGATATAAAGTTAGCTAGAGTTTTAGGAGCAATGACTGTGGAATAGCAGAGGTCTAAATAGGACAAGTTTCTAAGGAAGAAATACATAGGGGTGTGAAGTTTTGAGTCCACCTTAATGACGGTTATCATGCTGATATTTCCCACAACAATGACCAGGTAGATCAGCAAAAATACTAGAAATAACAGGGTCTGAAGCTCTGGAGGGGTCCTGAATCCCAATAGAATAAACTCTGTCACTTCTGAGAAATTCCTGTTCAGTTCACTCTTCATGGCTAAGGAACAAGTGTAACTGGAGGGATAGGCGAAAAGAAAGAAATAAGTAGCCAGAATACTTTCACTTTAGTACAACTAGCAGAAATCATGCGACTGGTGAAGCAGCAGAGAAAACGTTTTGCTTTATAATTCTCCCCCCCCCAATATTTTCTAAAACAGGAATTAGTGTAATCTTAGTGT